CAGAGGTTGTACCAGGTTGCTAGAAAATCAACAAAAAGATCCAGGAAGCAAGGAGAGGGGCATATCCCTTACTCAGTGTCTTATTTCTTTGAGCTGAAATTAAACTTTTGTAATTATAAGGTGTCAAATGTGGAGGAATCCTCTCTGCTCCATCTGGCAATATCTCCAGTCCAAACTTCCCAGGCCTGTATCCCTACAACATTGACTGCTCCTGGCTAATTGTGGTGGCAGAGGGATCCTCCGTCCTCCTCACCTTTCACCATTTTGAGCTGGAGTACCATGCCAACTGTGCTTACGACTACATCAAGATCTACAATGGCATATCTGAGGATGAGGGGAACCTCCTTGGGATATTTTGTGGTGACATCTCCCCGCCACAGTTCACCTCTTCTTGGAATGTCATGTCCATCATCTTCCATTCAGACCGCCATGTGGCCTTCAGGGGCTTCAGCGTTGGCTACAGAAAAGGTAACACGGCGTATTTGATGCAACGTGACAGGGATCAGTCGGCTAACTGCCCAAAACTTGAGTTGATTTTTTTCTGACAGTACCATTACACCTGGCTTTTAGCTATAACTTTTTGACCTTAACCTCACTGGAGTGCTCAGATCTGAACAAAACATTAGAGAGAAACAAGACTACAGCCATGCTAGTGGCAGTGGCAAGTTTAGGTAAAGCGGGGCTTTGAGTTAAATGCTCACATCAGCATGCTATCATGCTCACAGTGATAATGCTAGGTAATGTTTAGCTTGTATAATGTTTACCATGTTCGGCATCTTTTTTTCTTTCTTTGCAGGCATTTAGTCATGAAGAAAAGTATTTGTTGTTGCAACTTAAATATCAGTACAATACAACACAAAATTCCTTTGTCTGATCAGACATTTATTACAGTCGGGTTAACATGCATACGGACTCTCAGTGTCCAAGACAGAGAAGGGTCCACCACAGCCTTTACATGCTCTTTGCATATGGTTATAAGAGCGATTATATTTCTGCACACTCTGCCCTTCTTGGACACTGCTGTAAAATGCAAACAACTGTCTTACTTCCTCTCATCTAACTGACTTGCGCTATTCATTGGTCCTACTTCCTCTTGTCTAGCTGTCTCACACCTTCTGTTACAAGCAGTTTTCTATCACACTCTGTGCATCTAACAATAATCATATATATAACCATACCACATGGATGTCAGCTGTTGTGCAGTGGTAATAATACACAAGCAGAATGTTCTTTCAAACTGTAATACTGTAATTAACTGTAGTAATTTCCCTCACAGGATTGTACAGAATTAAATTGGCCTAAATGACTGTGGTTGATGAAAGGTCAGGGGATCTAAGTTATTAGAGTTCATCCTCTGGGGACCATGGATGTGTGTACCAGATTTCACAGCAATCACACCGAAATCTAATGAGGTATTTCTGTAAAAAACAAAAATTAATCTCATGGTGGTGCTAGAGGAAGTCGGGGGACCACCAAAGTCATTAGAATGTATCTTCTTAAATATCTGTGCCAAATTTCATCATAATTCATCCGCTAGTTATCATGATGTTTTAGTCTTGACCAAAGTAGTGGACCGACCGATAGGCACTTGCATTGCTAAAATGTATCTGTATCTTTTCAAAGATATACCAATTTCTGACTACAGCATGACCAACGAGTTAACAATAAAGATGCAGCAAACTGAATAACCACTGTACTTCCAGTGTTGCAGATTAACCCATGTTGTTTTACAAATGTCCCCATAAAACAACTTCAGTTTACCAGTACTGTCCTCTTTACAACCATCTTTAGTAGCTGTTGAACCCATAAACTGTCATCTGTAGGTTTTCCTTTTCCTTTTCAAAAAGAAAAATGTGTGTGCATCTAAATTTGCCCTCTATCCTCTCTAGATATGTGTGGTGGAGTCCTAACTGGTCTATCAGGTGTAATTTCCAGTCCAGGCTACCCTCACGAGTACAGCAACAATGCCGACTGCTCTTGGGCCATCCACGTGTCCAACAACAGTGTGGTCACTTTGGTCTTCTTGGACTTCCAGCTGGAAAACAATGAGGGATGTAATTTTGACTTTGTTGCCCTGTTTGATGGCCCAACAGTCACCCACCGCCACTTGGGCAAATACTGCGGGGCAGATGAACCCCCAAATACTGTCACCACCTCCAACCAGCTTCTGGTAGTCTTCAAGTCTGATTTCAACATTGGTGGACGTGGATTCAAGGCCTATTATTACTCAGGTATGAAAGATTGGTGTGATTAACTCTTCACACCAATATGCAATACAAAGTGCTTTCAGTATTTGACCCCCTTGTTTTTTGGTGTAACTGCAGAAAATGAAAAAAGATTTTTTTTTGTTATCAACAATGTCCCATTACTCTGTCAGATTTTTGGGCTTACATAAAGCAACCTTTATTCCCAGAAATCCTATTCATTCGTCTATTTGGAACCGAAAAGTTAAAAAAGTTTAAAAAAAAAAATACTATATCACACTAAAAGCTTGAAACAAGGCACAGGAAAAACCTTAAACATGACACAAAAGATGCTGTCATCTGATGAAATGAAAATTGAACACTTCTGCTACCATGCAAAGCACCATGTCAGGGTAGAGCAGAGCTCATCCCTTGTCTCACACCATCCCTACCACGAACAAGAAGTCTACAAAGTAAAAGTCCTTGAGTAGTCAAGTCCAGAATTGAATCCAGTTGACACACTGCAGAATAACTTTTAGACAGCTGATCACAGACTGTCCCTGTCTGACCTTGTCAAACATAAACCGATTGGCAAAAGGATGAAAATCCTAAAAATACAGTTGCAGAAGGACACTGACACAGATGGTTTTTTAATATTCGGAAAAGTAATGTTTTCACATTTTATTTTATGTTGATGTATAAGGGAGATCGACTTTTTATTTATTTCGGATTCAGATGCAAAAATTGCAATCTTTAAAATGTCATACTTTTAAAGCAGTGGTTCTCAGACGGTGGGACAGCAGTGGGGGGCGTGAATGACCGGGGGAAAATATGGATTGAAGCAATGTGATTTATGTAGGTTGATGCTATCATGCTGATCTTTATTTAACTAAAACTCAACTTGGATCCTTTTTATTAGTTGCTTACCCTACCATTGGCAAATAAATTATTCATATAAACTGTGGGGGTGTTGTGAACTTTGTCCAACTTCTGAAGGGGGCAACCCAGAAAATGTTTGAGAACCACTGTTTTTGAGGAATAGTTCAGCATTAAGGGAAATTTATGAATTTGTTTTTTGCAAAGAGATTGATGTGTGTTCAATATGAGGCTGCTGCCATAGCTATTTAGCTTAGCTTAGCATAAAGACTTGAAACAGAGGCTAGCATGGCTCTGTCCAAAGTGAACAAAAATTATTGACCTGGCACAGAGACCAGGCTAGCTGTTTCCTTCCACTTCCAATCTCTATGCTAAACTAAGCTAACTGGTTGCTGGCTGTATCTTCATACCTATTGTACACAAATAAAAGTGGACTATCTTCTCATCTAATTCTCAGCAACAAAAAGATTTTTCCCGAAAAGTGGAATTATTCCTTTACATGTGAAGAAATTATCTTTTTTGTCAGAGACTACATCCTACATACTTGCTATAAACATAAACTTTTACTTTTGTGAGACTCACTTCTCTCAAACAGTGAATCCAGCATCCAATACTGAACTGAAAACACTGTAGTAGTAACTAATATCATCAATAAAACTGACTAATTTATATGATTAACTGTACGTTAACAGGTGAATGCCAGCAGGTCCTGTCAGCTATAAGTGGCAACTTTAGCAGCCCCCATTTTCCAAACATCTACCCGAACAACATCAACTGCCACTGGAGCGTCACCCTGGCAGCTGGATACCGCATCAAACTCTTCTTCCCCATCATGGACTTGGAAGACCGCAACAGTCTGTCAGACCAGTGTGACTACGACTCTGTTGCGGTTTATGACGGGGACAGTCAGACAGACACCCTGCTGGGACGCTGGTGTGGCAGGGAGCAACCTGCCTCTCTCATCTCTAAGGGCAACAAGTTGCTGGTGGTACTCAGCACAGACAGAAATAAAGCTCATAGAGGATTCACTGCTTCTTATCTTGGAGGTAAATGCTCACTACACAGACATGTGATTCGTTTTCAGAATGAAAAACATTTATAATGGGAGTGTTAATGCTACTTGTTCTATGGGTGCTGTAGGTTTAAGTCATGCACTCCCCTTTGTCTAAATATCAGCTAATATACACTTGGTAAGACACTAAATGCCTAAAATATATATCTCTACAAAAAACTCCCACATCATTCTTATGCTGCTCTTTACTGTCTCTTCTTCTCCCTGTACTCCAAGTGGTGCCCGTAAACATTAGCTGCACAAGATCAGAATTCACCATCTTGATACCCCAGCAGTCCTTACCTCAGCTGGACCGCGAGAGCATCTACCTGGGAAACCCAACCTGTGCAGCCCAGTTGACAGCCACCTCATACAAGATACTTGCTCAGTTTGTTAACTGTGGTACTGCTGGCCAGGTGACTCGACTCATGTGACTTACTGGTACACCATAATTGATGATTTACCATACTTGAAGCATTGATTCGTGACTTCCTATAACAAATACTGGCACTCCTGTTCCCTTACAGAAACACCGGAACATCACCGTGCTGGTAAACAAACTCTACATTGATTTCTCTGATGGGAAGCAGCAGAATGTGCAGGAATATAAGGTGCAGTGTGATGCCCTGCGGAAGGTAGCATCAGTGTCCATCATTTCAGCAGAGGAGCGCCGTCTCGAGGAGCAGGCCCAGCAACCTGACAGTAACAGTGATGGCAATACAGGGGGTCCAGCAGCTGAGCCGCATGACCTGAGCGATATTGTCTTCATTAGCATCTGTGTGCTGGCTGTTATTCTCATGGTGATAGCTATTGTTTGGCTGGTGCTGCTTTAGTAATATATACAGTATATGTATCTATGGTCTTATTCAACAAAGAAAGGACTGCTGAAGTTGTCATATTTCCAATATTTTGTATAAAAAATTTCACAAACAGTATAAAAAAAAGACCCACAATCAATAAACATCATGATTCCAGTACAAAGGAATGGCATTATCATCACCACCAACAATAAATGACATACTCTTGTGATTGACATGTTTTTTAAAAACAGTGTTAGGCTGCTTATGTGCCACAAAGTGTAAAAGTATTTTATATCTCCTTTACAGAAAATCAATAAAATAATAAAAAAGTTACAAAGAAAATGTGTATGCATCAAAAAACCTTAACACATTTCAAGTAAAACAACCAGAAGTCTTAAATATGCAGTCACAGGCTCAGCCTAATTGTTTATCAGTTCATCGTCTTCTGCTTCTTCTTTTTCTATTTCTTGTATTTAGAAACCAGCTGGTTTACTGATATTGTGCTGTCCTTCACTTGAGTTCTGATCTCAGGGTTGTGTTTGAAGGCAAACACCAGTGCTCTAACAGTCCGTCTGTATGAGCTGCTGACTAATCGGGAGCTCTGGTGAAACACTTCTCTCTCAATGTTGTCTATAAGACCAGAATCCTCCTGTGGGTCCGATAAGAAGAACATACACATGTAAGCAAACACATAAAAATAAAAAAAAGAGTGCTGCATCGATCACGTATGCTGTATTTTAAGCGGACCTCGCTGATTTAGTAAACATCTCCCACATTTTTTCCAAAATTTCCGAAAGTTACAGTTTATGTGCGTTTAATGTGATTTTATCTCTGATGCCATACAAAACAAACATGAACATATGACAATTGACCAAAGACTGTAGCTCCTCCATCAGTTTATATTCCCAAAATATACCAACCGATGTAAAGTAAAATGAAAATTAGAGGTGGAATCAACACATTACATTGGACTTCACTGAGATGCTCTTCCTCACCTTGACCTCCAGGGCTTCAGACATTAGTCTTCTAGCGTTGCTCCTGAGTCCTTCAGATTGTTTGTCGGCACGCACTTCAATGGACGGCTTATTGGAATTCTCCTCGATAAACGTCCTCCAGTCAGTGTAAACCTTTGTTGCCATTGAACTCACCTCAGGGTCCAGATGCTTTCGCATTTTGTTGACAGTGTGACCTTAGAGGAGAGAGAATTTCATAATGTGGCAAACTAATGGGTGTAGAGGAAATCTGATAAAGGGCATGGCATGTACGAGGTAAACACAATTTATGATAGCTGTTTGCCTATTTGAGTTATTGTGCTGCTACGGCAATGCAGTGACAGTCAACTCAAAGACTTGTTTGTTGTTTTCTTTTTCAGTTGCCTTGGTTGCAGTCTGTGCTACATCCTGAGCAGACTGACAATAACAACACATGCTTCCCACATCAAGAGTGCACTGCAGCAGCTATATCAGCATAGCAACATTCAAATTATATATATATAAGAAACTTATTTACATTAAGTTCTCCCTGGCCTACCTATTTTTGTGGACTTGAGCACCTCCCTGGATGGGATCTTCTTGCTCAGGTCTGTCAGGGCAGTCAGCAGGTTGTCCTTGCTCTGCTCTGGAAGCTCTAAGATGGACTTGTACCGCATAATGTCCTCAATCACAACCACCCTCTGTAAAGAAAAACAACAACAACACAAGAGCGATGAAGAGCCGTTCAATCTGGCACACAGTAACACTTTCTTGGCTCAATAGCTCACCCGTAAAGATTCAATTGTAGCTTGTTTGTAAACCTTGTCGTTGCTTTTCGCTTTTTTAGGTGTTTCCCCTTTGGGAAGCCGCACTACAAACTTGTCCATCTTAAAATATAAAGCAGCAAGCCGCCTGGTTAATAGACTTGTTGGTTTTGTTCAATAAAAGGGAATTGGTTGAAGATAACGTTAACTAAGTTCAGGTTAAAGAAGAGGTCCAGAGACAACCGGTGCTACCTGGCTAACGTTACCTCACTCACTCCAACCTCTGTTTGACATTCAATTTTATAATATTAAACACATTGCTGGCTTGGTTCGAGCCACAGCTCCACACTCCACTAATTAATAGTCGCCTTTATAACCGCAATGGTGACAAATCTGTTAAGTAAAACTAGCTACAGCTAAATGGCTATGGTAAATAGTAGCTGCTAATGTTGCCTTTAGGTACTGTCGGAAATAACAGAGAGCACCGTGAACAAGTTAGGAAATAAATAAATAGAAACTATCGGAGTACACATGGTGTAAAAATTCAAGAACTAAACATTCATATGAATCAATACAGTTAATAATAACAATAGATAAATAACAACTACATAATGATTAAACACCTCCCTGTCACAATGTAATTTAATTCTTTCTTTTAATTAAATTAAACATATTATTTATTTGAGTTTATTTTTTACATCATCTACATAATTTTAGCTATATTGTCAATGATTGTCACCAATTCCGAATCCTTATCCATCTGCCAAACACATGCTTTGGCTTGTTTGCAGACAAAATGTTGTAGTTAAAATAATATTCTGCTGCTGCGATGCATCTACAGAGCTTGATTTGATTGTGTAAGAAAACAACACACACTTTCCAATTATACACAAAACCAAAAAAAGGTATTCTAAGCAAAATGTACAACAGACTTTAAAAAGCATAAGATAAGGTTGTATGCATATAATTTAAGTGTGGCACATGATACTAAAGAACCCTAAAAAAACATGATAACAAGAATGGTTTAGTTCCAACAATAAAAATAAGCCATTCACACGGTTTATTGTTTGATTATTTACAGAATTTGAACATGGGGTCTATAATACCAGAGCCTATCAGGAGAATAGATGGAATTTACGAGCGGCACTTAAACATAGCAAAACATTTTAGCGACAGTCTCGCGTGAGCCGAAGTTCCCGCGAGATTACAAACCCGATTAAGGAGGAGGAGGAAGAAGAAGAAGAAGAGCGTGTTGTTTGTTTAGGTTTTCGCAGGCAAAATGGGGATTCTCTCCTCCTTTGTCTCTGTTTTGGGACTCTTCGTCCTGCTCGCGTTCACATCGGCGTCCTCGGATGTGTTCGACAGCGTGCTGGGAAACACGGCCTCCTGTCACAAGTCCTGTGAAATGACATACAGTTTGCACACGTATCCGCGGGTGAGTACTCATCTCGACGAGGAAAGTAATGTCTGCTTTGCGTTAGCTAACGTTTTTTGGCAAGTTGGCGAGGCCCTCGGCTTCGTTACCAGGCCTTCTGTGTCATTTTTTAACGTGGTTTTAAAAAGGAGAGCTCACGACTTGTGTGAAAGTTGAGAGTGCGTCCTTTTTTGTTTTTCACGGATGCCGTTTGTTTGTTTGTTTGTCGAGGCATTCAACTGGTCCTCTTGTTTGTTTTGAAGGAGGAAGAACTGTATGCCTGTCAGAGAGGCTGCCGTCTGTTTTCCATTTGTCAGTTCGTTCGTGACAGCGAAGACCTGAATCAGACCAAATCCGAGTGTGAATCAAGTAAGTGACAGTCTTTAAAACCTGTTTTAATTCCCCCCCCCCTGTACACTGTCCTGGCCTCCATGATAGCGCTTGTTAACCGTGTGATCACCTTCAGTAAAGCCATAAACAGCATTTAATCAGTGCTACGTTCGCACACCCTATCCATAATAACCAGACTCTGTTAAAACTCTTGCTGCTCGTCGTGTATTGTCTGTAATCCTGTTTTGTACCATATGTTACCCCTCACCGCAGCCTGTCGCGAAGCCTACACCCAGTCTGATGAGCAGTATGCTTGCAACCTGGGCTGCCAGAACCAACTCCCATTTGCCGAGCAACGCAATGAGCAGGTACAAGTACAAGTATGTAACAATCACTCAGTGGTTTGTATGGATAAACACGCACATCTCTCTCTATAAAAAAAACAAAACCCAGTGTACTCAGTATTGCTTGTTTTTTTTTTCAGCTGGAGGCCATGATGCCTCGGATTCACCTGCTCTACCCCCTGACTCTTGTCCGAGGGCTTTGGGAGGATGTCATGAATCAGGCCCACAGCTTCATCACTTCCACGTGGACGTTCTACCTCCAGGCCGATGATGGCAAAGTTGTCATTTTCCAGGTATGGCACCCAGTACGTGGATTTAATATCAGTGTTCTGTATGCAAACAATGTGGTTCATCCTGTTACTGCACTGATGAGATGCAGAGCACAGTTACAAACCCAGTTCTCTTATGTTTTTTTTTTTTTTTTACAGAGTGAGCCACAAGTCAGGTTTTTCTCCCCGTTTGAAGTGGAAAAAGAAGTTAAAGAGGAGCCACTACAGAGCTGTAAGCCTTCTACTCAAGATTCTCTACTTTTCTTAACCAGATTTAGCGTATTCCTCTGTAGCACAAACCTCCAGTGTTGTCCCTGATATCACATAAATGAGGCACATAGTTTTACTGAATGACACGTTCCTTCATCGTAGCCGCTTTTCCGCCGCACGGTGCAGCTCGACTCTATTTCCTGCTCTTCGGTTTTCCATTATGGATAGTAATAGTATTTTTATTTTTTGGTACCACCTTGGTGGAGGTTCAAAGGGAGCTGAGCTTAAACTAAAAAGTGGCTGTTCAATAGCGACCACAATTATTTTTTCCCCCACATCAAAAATAGCAGCTCAAAAAACCACATCTTTCAAAGTGCAGACGTATCATATCCTCTGAAAGAGAAGCAGAGGGAAAGGCGAGCAGTGAAGTTGTCAAGCTGGCAGTAAATATACAGTCGTCAGGCTGCAGTTTTTGTCAGTGAATAAAGATGCAAGCTGCTTCCTCAAGACCAAAAGTACAAGTGTGTGTGTGTGTGGGTGGGTGGGAATAGCGTCGCTCTGATGCTCAGCTCAACCTACGTTGAGGGCGTACTATCCAAAGTACTGTCTACAGTGGAAACAAAGTAGACTAGAGTTGAGTCGACCTGGTACCATGTAGTGGAAATGCGGCATATGATGAACATGGCCACTGTATGTTATTTTCAGTCCACACACACCGTCCTGCTGTCATAAATACTCACTAGCTCACTAATGCATTAATCCACAGCTGAAAAATAGAACCCAAAAACAATGCATTATTCACGTCCTAGTTTCTTAAGGTTTGCTAAAAGCTACATTGCCTAGCTGTTTTTAGAAAATTACTTTTGAAATAAATGCATATATTTGTGACCAGCTCTACTAGTTTATATCTTCAGGGGGAGCAAATGGCCTTGGAGGCTAAATATGGAAGATGTTAGTGGACATTTTCAGTTTGTCTTTCCTGGTAGACATTTATAGTATTGTACTCAGTTGTTCACAAAAAAAAAAGAGAACTTGAGAGAGAGAAGTTAAAACCCTGGCTCATTTCTCACCTCGGTGTAACCGAGCAATCACTACATCAGATGGTAAAGTCAAGATCAAAGCAGTACAACAAAGGAACACATTGTGCATGTCGTAATGTTCTATTTCTCAATTTCAAGTCCCAGGGTTGAGCAGCCCAGTTTACAAAGAATACCATCGCACTATAATCCAGGAGAGGGACAGAGATATGACCGGGGATCGCAACTACGATGATGAATACAACCTCTTCAGCTGTCTCTCCAGGTCGGTTGGCACACCTTTGTCCACATTGTCAAGGAAATGGAATTGTTTAATTTGCTTAGTAGAGCATGACATGGCACTAACAGGCTGATCCCCACACGAGCACTATATTTGTACTATTCTCTTCAGGAACCCGTGGCTACCAGGGTGGATCCTTACCACAACTCTGGTCCTGTCTGTGCTGGTCCTGATCTGGATCTGCTGTGCCACTGTGGCAACCGCTGTAGACCAGTATGTACCTGCTGAGGTAAGTTTTGTTTTTTTGTTGTTTTTTTAAAAGAACTTCAGTTAACATACAAGCTCATTTGATGCATGTAAATGTTTGTTGCATGTCGTTTTATGGTGCTGTAGTTTTTCTTTTTGTACTTTATGGTTGATGGGTAATTGGTTGTAATGCATGTGACCCGAGGAAACATTTTGGGAAATACGCTTATCCATTCTCTTGTAAAGAGTTGGATGAAGGAGATCTCTACTCCTTATCAATCCGTAGGGTTATAATGAGTACATGTAGCTTGGAGCCAGCAACTTCAGCTTACCATAGCCTTAGCATAAAGACTGGAGACAGTGGTTAACGGCTACACTGGCTCTGTCAGAAGAAAACTGAATACCCCTCACTAATATAGACAGTTTATGTAAAATGTATAAAAATATAAGTTTAGCATTTTACAGCGACTGTGCCAGACTGTTTCCTGGCTGAGATGAGATACTCCGCCGGTTGTCTAGCATTACTGTTACTTTTATTTACACTTTATTTGTTTGAATCAAACATATGCTACAGAACATGTTACTCAGTGAGCTTTAGAGGTGCTGCATGTGTAGTTACCCTTGGGTAAGAGCCACGCTAGCTGTTTTGCACTCTATTGTGTTAAGCTAACGGCTGCTAAATTTACCGTACCACCATGTGAAAGCCTAGCATTGATGTCCTCATCCACCTCTCAGGCAAGAATGCACACATAGTGTGTTTCCCAAAATATCCAAACTATTTCTCTTCTCTCTACAAGCGTATTTGAGCTAAAAGCAAAGCGTCAATTTAGAACATACTGCATCTTAGTTTTCTGTATTTAACATCTTGCTTTGTAGTAGAGGAGCTGATTTTGTTGTATTCAATGGTTGGATTATCACTTTCAGAATTTGAATACATTTGTCAGGATGTAAAAAATGTTAAACAATCACTGCTTCTGTTTTGGTTTTTTTCCAGAAACTGAGCACTCTACATGGTGACAAGGCAGTACATGAAGGAGTCGAAACTGACCCCCCATATTCCAGCCGTCTCCCTCTGATCATCCACTCCAAAGGGCCAGAGGAAGAGCCGGCGCCACTCCCCTTCCACATAACTCTAACTGGGCAGCTCTGACATCCCTAGCCAAGCCACAAGCTGTAAGCAGAGACAGGGAAATCCTCTTTTATTACTGATCTTAAGCTGATTTTACAATTCTCTGGCACAGACCCTGTGTTTCCTACATGCGTCTACAACAGGGTAACTACTGCAGAAAACATTTTGTAGTTACTGATATCACATGTCTCGTTTTCTTTTTTTTTTCTTTTTTTTTTTTTTTGAAGCTTTTTAAAATTGACGTGATGGAAGGTTTATTGCCGTTATATTTGTATGATTCGATGGCATTATACGTATAAGGTGATAACGAGTACAAGTACCACAATAGGTTTGGGGGTTTTTCTTTCAATCTTGCATGTGGCGCTGCATTAGCTGTTGGTTGGCTATTTTCATTGCATAACTGTTTTAAACTAACCTTTCTGTGATTACAGTTGATACCAGGTTCCACCTAACCTGCCACTTTTGTTAAAATAGATGCCTAATACCTGCAGACTCTCCCTGTTTTTCCCAGTCGTTTCTACTGCATTGATTTCCAGATATCTGAATTTTACATAAAGACCTAAGCTCTTAATCTTTATTAATAGTGACCAGCACATACGGTAGGGTCTTTCCTGCTTCACTATCCGTCTGTTCTCGGTAACGACTGGTCTCAGAATTAAATACAATCGGAGTGAAGTTGTCGACGTTTTTGTTTTTTTTTTTTTTTTAATCATTAATATACTGTAAGCTGACCTCACTTTACGTGTTTTAAAAATAATTGTACCATGGTAATTCTGAAGGTCAAAACTACACTGCAGTATGATACTATGTTCCATCGATGACCGTCTTTGCAGCACCAGCATTATGTTGTGGGCATAGTGCTTCCTTTCGTCGATAATATAAAGCTCTGGTGACGATTTATTGTTAAAATAATTTTAACGTAGTCATTTAGTGTTTATTTTCTCCACTTGGCAGGCAGTTGTTTGAGAGGACTTGAGAAAATAGCACTGGTTTCCTGTGTGATGACAGAATGCTTTATCACTGTGATCTCTGTAATAGGGTAGTGAGCTCTCTGAGGGCTTGCTAATGTAATGCACCATCACACAACTTGTTTACCACCAGAACTGGAATTGAAGGGTTTAATCTTGGAATCTTCCACAGCTATCTTATTATATATTTTAGCGTAATGTGCTCCTTTTTCCATATTTCGGGCCATCCTATGCAGCCATTTTCCTAGATTCTTATTGTTTTGTTGTGAATATCCTCAGAACTGGCTCTTTGTCAGTTGTATTAACCTGTTATGGGACCCGATGGTAAAAGTTAGCTGTCAGGCAGCCTATAGACCCCTTTTTTATCAGTCTTTGTGCTATGTGTACAACTTATTTTTTGCTGTGTGGTATTATGATTTAAAGGCCACTGATTTTACACATCGAAGGCTGTTTACAGGTCTTGGGAGCACTACTGCATATGTGAAAGAAGTCATGAAGCTTTTTGCAGCTTTAGAGGGAGCTGTGCAAAGTGATATATTGCCTCAAGGGATTGGAGGACTACAAGTTTAAAAATGAAAATAATTTGGTGGTGTGGAGTTCGAAACAAGGGAGACCTGTAGAAGCCACTTCTCGCTTGAGCGTAACATGCTGATGGTACATTGTGAGTAATGTAAGTGCCAGGTTTTGGGGACAAAAAAAAAACAACCTCTAGTTATGCTGCATCAATATTGATGCTTTTTTAGAAACTGTCCATTGTGTGTGACAGTATCATAGGAGTGCGATGCTAAATTAGTGCACTACTCTTAACACAGTTTAGATAAATGCAGCATACGAACACAAACCTTGCACAGGGACCCTGACTTCAAAACAGGGCCTCGAGATTAGTTGATGTAGCAATAACCTTAATTCCTTATCATGTCCGTTAACAGTGTGCATCACTGCTGCATATTCCCAAACAGATTTTCAATTAAACAAGTTAACACAATGTTAGGTATGGATCTTTTGAGGCCTTAGGGCAGTTAACCAGTTAGTAATGTAGTATTGATGTAATTACAACACTGCCACATTTGTTCTGATGATCAGCCAGTTTGTGTCTCCAAGAAGCAAAATGGCAAGCAAAGTTGTTGAAACATGCAGAATACTAAACTTTATTCATAAAAATATATAAACAAAACAACCAACAACCACCTGTATCCAAGAAAAACTAGTTCACTAGAGTTTGTCTTGGGCCTGAATGTTACCGGATAACCGACAGACTGTAATGTGGAATGCTAACACGGCTCACACCTCAATAGCTGTTCAACAAGTCAATGTCCTCTGCAGTGAGAGCTGGAGAGGACAAACGTTTTGTCGGAGGGCTTTGACGTGAATTCTCACACCTTTCTGGCTGACGCTGCCTTTTTTTGATATTGTGCCATGGCTTCGCTTGAGGATTCGTTGCAGAAGGAGTCTGTTTCTCTGGTATGTGACTATTTGCTGGAGGTCTGTGGAAATGCAGTCTCTCTCTCTTGGCCTCTTCCTCGCTCTCACATACCACGGGTGCTGCGCTCAGTACTTCTCTGACAAACTTCTGCCTGCCAACTAGAAAAAAAACAAAAACAAAAACCACTTTCAAAACTCTTAGATCATGTGTCAGTGTTAAAAATTGCCCATTACAGTGTAATCTAAAATGAACTTACAAAAGCGAAGTGCTGACGTTCTGGATTCTTCAATTTTCTTCTGTTTTGGCATTTGCGAGCCATTTGTTTCCCACTGGTTTACAACCTGAAAATGAGACAATACATTTGTTAACAATATGTCCATCTGCAACATTTAGCCTATAATTAAAACAGCAGTCCTTACATTAAAGAACATATGTTTACTTTTCATCAACGTCTGAAAATATTTACCTGCTCTGCCCAACCTTCTGTTTTACATCTTGAGTGATCAAAGGTGTCCAGTGGTTTCTCAGAATAAATGAGCCCCAACAGGTCCCATATGGTCGTCTTCAATCTTGTGCCAAGCTGGAGGTATAAATAACATTTAGTTGTCAGCATCACAACAAGCTACAAGTGTTGCACAAAAACAATTACTTGTACCTTCAAACTGGTCCCAGATGCATCCAGTTTTTCAAGTTTGGGGAGGCAAGTGAGGTATTTGAGAGCCCTCTCTGAGATAGGGTTATCTGTATCAGAAATAAAATAAGTGAGCAGCATCTTAATGACGGATGTCCACTTCTAACTTCTATAAATTAGAATTAAAAAAAGAGATAAAAGAAGATAATATTTTGGTTACTAACAGGAAACATCAAGGAACTGAAGACAGTCCAGTCCCTTCCTCATCATCCGGATAGGTGCTGTCAATCTTTGTAGGCCGACATCTGACAGACTGTTACCACCAATGAAAAGCTGAATCAGGCTGCCGAAGAAGCGAGACACAAGCGTTAGTATCATCTTGTCTTAAATTCTTCACATCATGCCTTTGGGAATGATAAAATCGGGCATTACCTTGCCAATGAGCTGGAAGTTAAATGAAGGAAAATCTCATGATCATCACCCAGTCTGCAGCCAAACAGATCCAGAGACTTCAAACTATGAAATGTTTTTATTTCATCCATCCTCTCATGCAAGAGTGGAAATCTGCAGAAATAAAAAGGGACAAGAGATGTTGCTGTCTCTGGCAAACAAAAAACAACAACAGAAACTGGGAGGCTGGAGATATATTGGCACTATAACTTACCTATTTCTCAGACAGAGGGATCCAAGCACCATCTCCCCATATGCATCACTGAATAACTGCAGGGCCTTTGGAGAAATGTCTGCGTTTAAAAAGACACGATTCTCCTCTGCTGCTGCAAAAAGCCTGTCTCCTATTTGTTCGGGGAAGCCCACCAGAGAGTCCACATGGTGAATGTTGTCAGCTACGAACAACAGAGTGATGTCAAAGAGAGATTTTGTGGTGTATCTGAGACTGCCCTCTGCATTGTAGGTGAATATGAAGTGCTCTTTTCTCAGCACTAAAGGATGTGTCCTTCTGCATGATGACACTGGCTTTGGCTGCGCTAGGACTATATCACTGACACGGCGGAGGTTGCCCCTTTCTCGGACGTAAATGGTGCTACTGTCCATGCTAAGGTCACACTTTTCCTTTACTTGTTAGAAGGACAAAACTCGAGCTCGTTTAGTCAGCTAGCTCGGCTAACCCCCTGAAGCATAACACAAACTCAAGGTAGCTCGCTAGTTAGCTAATCTGTGGTCCTTGGCAGAGCAAAAAACCCAGCACAAAAGGATCCATAAGTCTTTGATAGGACTCTTTTATTACCTGATATTGTTTTTCATTGTATTTCGCCAACTTATTCACTACTTGAACGGATTCTTTCAGGTATTTAGAGCTCCTTGTTGTAGCCTACAGTGCAAGTTATCTGTTGCAGCTCTCGCTTGCTTCAACTTCAAAATAAAAGCCCACAACTAAAATAAACTATTTTCAAGATCCCAAAGTACAACATAAGCGGCATGAATTTCACTCGAATAAACTTCGCAAAACATGATTATGTAGAATATAATCCAGCATGACACTGTCAATCATATGTTCAATGAAAAGAAAACGTTCAAACTCTTAGTTTGAAACTGTTTAGTAACAGGAAGAAGTCTTGTTTACATGGCAAGTATTTCCTGTTCCACGCAACACAAACCTAGCTGAGGGAAGCGAAATGATTTTTAGGAGTTTTGGAAGATAACTTGGTAAGAATGCATTATTTTGAGAAAACAATGAAGTGTTTTTTTTATATACAACCGACGCTCCTGCTGTTTTGCCAGTCCTAGTGTCGCGTTAGGCATTTAATATAAGTTCATTAGTTATTGATGAGCTGTCAAGTGAGGGCTTGGTAGCTAACTTGCGCTAACTTCTAACCCTTCTAATAGTTTACAAAGTTTTAAACCAGCATATAGGGAAGGAATAATTAGGCTTGGAAGTAAAAAAATAAATAAATAAATAAATAAATAAAAATGTTTCTTTCCTTCACAGATTTCTGAGATTAAGTTGTTGCTTTAGTGCAACATTAACATAAATTCCTGAGCCGAACCTCGTCACTGAGAGTGAATCCGTGTAAATGGCGGCCACAAATGATCCATTTCAATTCCAAGGTGAGTGTCCACCACACTGTTTTGTGTAATAAGGAAATGAAGTTGCTTTATTGATGCTACAGTTTACTGTTCTCTTTCTCTCCGTCTCTATGGCATCTGTAATCTGTAAACAACCACCTCTCTCCCTGTGCTGCACTGTGATGCATTAATACAGTATTTGTATTCATGTTTTCCATTAATCTATGCCGTGACAATAGAATTTGAAGAAGCCGGCAATCTGTTAGAAGCCAACAGAGGTGCAGTCACCATAAGCATTGAGGACGAAGATGTCCAACCCGAGAAGCAGAGAAAAGCTGCTGGTTTCACTCCTGATGAGGAGGACGAGGACCCACTTGCCGGTGACAAGACAGAGGTCTGGACTAGATTAATACTCAGTGGGAATGTGTGTGTGTTTTTGTGGATTATAAAATGTTGATGCATCAAATATATATTTTATTATTTCTTTTTGTTTTAAGCTTCTCTCTGGGCAAAAGAAGAATGCCCCTTTCTGGACGTTTGAGTACTACCAAAGATTTTTTGACATCGAGACCCATCACGTAAATATATTTACAATTTATTTGAATAACTTTTAAGCACTCTGAAAAAACTTGTCTTGTAATATGATGTGTTTCAGGACAATTGTAGTTTTACATATGTTATGGTTATTCATATTTCTTTCAGGTGAAGGAAAGGATAATTGGATCAATGGTACCATGGCCTGGAAAGAACTTCATTCATGTCTACCTGCGCAGAAATCCTGATCTTTATGGTTAGCGCTCACACATGTCGAAAATGGTATTCCTGTTCTGTACTGTAGCTAAAAGGAGGTAATATTTGTAACTGGAAGTTCTAATTCTTGGTATTTGTGCTTTCAGGACCATTCTGGATTTGCACCACTCTTGTGTTTGCCATTGCCATCAGTGGAAACATATCCAACTTTCTGATGCACTTAGGCAAACCAAACTATAAGTATACCCCAGAGTTTCAAAAAGGTAAGTTCTGTTACTCTTTGATATTCATGGATCATTTTTTTCAGGTTGAATATAAGGGGAAACTACATTTGACTTAAAAACCCTTTTTATTTTTGAATTTGCTGTATTTTCCAGTGACCATAGCTGCAACAGCGATCTTCAGCTATGCTTGGTTGGTGCCCCTTGCCCTGTGGGGTTTCCTGCTATGGAGAAACAACAAGATCATGAACTTGGTGTCGTACTCCTTCATGGAGATCGTCTGTGTGTACGGATATTCGCTTGCGATTTACATTCCAGCAGTGGTAAGAGCTCACATTCACTGTTCTATTTCATACACTACAGTTGTGATGATGATGATGATTCGCATGAAAAGGCCAAAGATTGTCATTACATTGTCCTTGTTCATGATAATAAAGGTCCATGTCACTCAGAGCAACAGATAATACACAGTATATATTACACTTTTGTTTCCCACATAAGGTCTTGTGGATTCTCCCGTATGAATGGCTGAGGTGGTGCTCCATTGTGGTGGCTCTCTGCCTCTCCGGCTCAGTTCTGGTGATGACTTTCTGGCCCGCGGTCAGGGATGACCACCCCAAAGTTATCATAGCAATCATGTCAGCCATCGTTGTGCTCAACGTTCTGCTTGCCGTTGGTTGTAAGGTAATTGTGATCCTGCTTTTACATAACTTTACTCTTAGGAATTAATTACAAATTTGGGAAATATGGAAAAGAAATCTGTTCGGCGAAATAAGATACGACATTCATTGTTCCGCTTTGGCAAACTGCATCTTCTCTGATCCAGTTGATTCAAGCTACCTGTCCATCTCGGTGTAGATAACAGCAATGACTGACTCATTCCCGTTTGTCCTCAATGATCTCAGTAGCATGGCCAAGACTTGACCCAGCTTGTCTATGTCAATCAGAGACTGTGCACTACACTACATGTACATTTTTGCGTGTCTCTCCCGGTGTGTTTCTGGGAAATTACTATACATGATCGTGTCAAGTTCGCTCTCCTTTGACTCTCTTCATTGGAAACTGTGACCGCATTTGCTAACTGGTGTGAGAACAGGCTGTTAGAGCACTTCTTAATGTGAATACGGTCAGGTCCACTTGGGTATCATATGTCGGGTCTCATTCATGTAATTAGTCTACAAAGTAAGCTGCGTCTGAAGGGTGACTAAGATGAATGGATTGCAGAAAAGCTGTATTCTCTCCTTAACACTGAACATTTGTTGCGCACTTACTCGCAGACACACCAGCTTCAGTTCTTGATTGATTAGTAGTTTCTCTTCAAACTGTAACCGCTTCTTTGCCACGTTGTTTTACAGTCTTTTCCTTCTTTGTTTGGTTTTTCAGGCCTATTTCTTTAGCAGTCCAGAACCAACACTACCAATTGAACCTGCAGCAGTGGAGAGCAAGACAACTTCCACATGAAAGCCTTTCATCGTCTGAAGGTAAACAATGGTGACACTGAAGCTTTTTATGGCCCGATCCCTTTGTACATATCCGCTAAGAATGTGATACATGTAAGTCATATTTCTCCCCTTTGTACTTTCTCATGGCTGTTTTCATATTTACATTCAGTAGTATCAAGAACGATGACCTCCTAGTTCAGTAGCAGCTCCACATTGCTGGCCTATTTAGTAGCTTTGGCACGAGTGTAGTGTTTTTTTGACCTACTAGAGCAGAACATCTGACACCGGACTTCCTTTACATGATTTCTCCTTCCCAAAGTGTTATTCTTTTTTGAATTGCAGGTTCTCTTGTTGCCCTATTAGAGAGAATCAGGTTGCTGTGGTGATGAAGTCATGGGTCGTCTGGATTTCACCTGCACTTGAACATTCAGGCTTAGGACCTTAGAACCTAGTGTGTCTGCTTGGTTCAACTGTGTGACCTCTGAAAATGAACACTGGTACCAAGTATGTTATTTCTAATGGGATGGGTCTAAAATTCCTTTAAGATAAATGGGGTATGGTGTTACACAGCACAAGGGATCTCTTTTAGTACGATAGTTTTCCGCTTTATGGGTCTTCTGTTGAAATATTTAGATAACCAGTCTGTGCAGTAATGTTGGCAGCATCAAAGGCATTTTGTATATGCATTTTTTATATTCTGTTAATGGGAACTGGCTATTAGACTTTGTATGTATGAACAGCACAACAATTATAGGTGTTGGGAAGATATTCAAGGGTTGGACTTATTATGTGCAAATAGAGTTACTGTATTGTCCTCCAACTGTTGTAACCATAAGTGCCCTCAACTAATGCCAAAGACCCATTCTATGTGTATATAAAAAAATTTACAACTTGTGTAACTTTTTTAAAAAATCAGTTTGTTTTTTTGATGAACTGCGTTTGATAAAATGTATAAAAATGTAATTAGTTTGTGCTCAATTAGTGTTTTATGGGGGGAAAAATAAAACACTTTGTGGGACCCACCTTTTATTAATAAAATGGTCATTGTTATGACAGTGATCAATTTACAGTCAACTCAAAGCCTATTTGCGAGCACAAATTTAACTCTATGAAAAGATTATTCACATGCTGTCTTAGCCTGTATAATTAAAAATGTATGTAGTCTGCGTGACATCATCCATAGGTTTCTATAGAGCCGTTGTGAAGCTTAGTGTGGCCTGCTCTGGCTGTCGCCATCTTGGCTGTCCTGACTCCACCAGCTCCTGGCTGATCCAAAAATGGGCAAGATGTGAAATGTGGGTGGAACTGAAAACAGCTGGTCATTCCCTGAATTATGCATAACTTTGAATTGTAATCTAATTTTTGGCTACTTTTTCCTGTCATGAAGAATGTTGGTCTCTACCCACATAAACGAAATATATAACATTTTGGGAAGCATTCTTATTCCCTTTCTTGCCATGACCAACATCAGAAGATTGATGCCACGCTCATGTCTTCAAGATGAATATGAAGCTATAACTTTAAAACGAGGAAACAGCTAGCCTCACCTTTTTAACATTAACCACACCCCTTTTTTCAGTCCAAGCTACCAACTGCTAACTTTAGCCTTACATTAAACTGACATATGAGAGTGGTATCTTCTCTATAAGCCTGTTTCCAAAAATGTCTAAAGATTCCTTTCAATAACATTTAAGTTTCTTTCCACTGAAGTCTAAAAACATGTAAAACCTTTGCTTAATACCAACTGAAATTCAAATCACTCGAATCATATGACTGTAGATATTTGCATTATATTAATGATTAAAATATCAGAGAACAATTTCTGTTCACCGTTTTCTTTTAGTAAACTTAAAAGTTTTAGGCAGGCCAACCTTAAATCACCCCAGCCACCACACGTGTCAGCAACGTGACTCTTTTCCACCAGCTCCTGGCAGCATTAAAGGCGGCCAGTACATTTCAACAGTTGGACATTTTAAATATTTAAGGGAGAGATCGTAACTAATAGGTATAACTTCAACATTTCAAAGACAGCGTCTAACTTTAAAAGTGGGCATTTGGCTGCTGCTGCTGTTTTTCCAGCTCATCTATCTAAACTGTCGTGTGGTCGAGCAAACTGATAGAATCTAATGTGTCACTGTATGGATGCACAGATCACCTGCAGTGGAAAAATGTTACTTATGTATGTAAAGCCTGTTTCTACAAGCACACCACGTGTTGTCAGCACCTTACACGCGCGGGACCTCTGTTAAGTCTGAGTTTAATATTTCCATTAATTAACAAGGGCAATTTTTTTAGATTAATTAACAAAATAGAAAAAGAAATTGTGTCACTTGAAACGGTGTCAAAGGGATGGTGGCGCCCTAATTAATGGTCATTCTAGCCCCAGCTTTGAGTTACACAGGAGCTGCCTGTCAAACAGATAACCCTGTTAGAGGAATGTCACCTGCCTCAGTCTGAGCCATGCATGTAGCTGCTCATGCTTGTGAAGTGGATTTACCAACACCATGCTTAAGGACAATTTGAATAACTTGAGTAGTAACATTTTTTAAAGAAGAAATGCCCTTTTAGTATAATTTTTTTTTTAATATTGAGATTTGGAAACCTTACCCTGTAGGATGGCAACCTCAAATGGAAAAGGTGAAAAGGTGTCCAAATTTGAGACACTGAAGCTTTTGGAGAAATGCAGAAAGGAAAGAGACGATGCCATACACAGAGAAAGTGTTCTCAGAGAGAAACTTAGACAGTACGAGTCAAGGATGCGTTCAACTGAGGCTCTGAAACAGAAACTGAAGACCTTGACTATGGACAACAAAGAGCTGAGGAAACAAGTGAAGACTCTTCGCACTGAGATTGGACTCGAGTGCAGCCCTAAGTTCAATGGAAAGACCACAAAGGACATAATCAACGACTTGCATGAAAAGGACCGTGAGTGCAGTTCCCTGGTGGAGAAGGCTGGGAAACTAAGTCTGACCATTGATGATTTGACCTCAGAGTTGGCCAATACAGTCACCTCTAAGACACTTTTAGAGGATCAAGTGCAGTCATTGCAGCAAAATCTCAAGGATATGACAAATAACCAACGCCGTCTGCTGAAATTGTGGGAAGACAAGAAGTCCCAGAGGGAGCAGCTGGCCCTCCCTGCAATTGCCCAGAAACCAGGACAAAAACCATTTGTCCATAGAGCAGTTCAAACTGAGATGTCCATTGGTCTATCCCAAAAGCTCCCAGTCAATGCCTTTGAGACCAAGCCATTCTCTTTGGATAATGACAAAAAGACTGTTTTGGATAAACACAGTTTTCCAAATTATGGAAACGGCTATCACCATGACAAGAAAGGTTTTTTGCACGACGAAGCCAAAGGAATTCAGAATTGACTTGACTCACTGACTCACAGCCACTGACACTCTTAAAAAATAAAGCAGAGATTTAGCAAATCATAATTGGACAAACTGGAAAAATGAATATATCTGTAAATAAACAAATGAGTAAAAGGACATACGATTTAAACAATGAAAGGCTGTTTTAATGGCTTGTCTTGGTGCCTTGTGTAATTTAATTCTGTGACAATGTAGTTATTTCACTATATCATTCAACTGTAAGCTAACTTTATAGACCTGTTTCAGTAAACTAATATCCGAAGCAACTTTTAAAAGCTATTGTTTGTGGGCTTATTCCGTTCAACCAAGCTTGCATTGGTGACACACTCTGAATGTATACACACATTAATGTTGAACACGCTCGTTGAACTAAATTCATGTGGCTGTGATACTGGCAGCAGGCAGGAATACGGACAACCTTTTAATCGGGGTCCTTCAGAGGTCCCATGTGGCGCGATATGGGAAACTGAGTGTGAAATAGTTTGACAGCAGGAGAGCCGAAGTGATTATTGTCCCCGTGTGGCTCTCCGTCCATCCACACAACATGTTTTCTGCAGAGCAAAGTTGTTGGTTTGTCCGCAAGGTGAGTCTTTACGCTCAAGTCTTCATTCATAAAAGAGAAACGTGCAAGTTATCGCCTGTGCTAGCGTGCTAACTGCGAGCTGAAGCGAGCGTCGCTAACATTTGGCACAAAAACACAAAGAAACCAAGTTACAGAACAAGGAAGGAAAGTACAGTTAAGCTAAATATGTGCCAAGTAGGCCCAATATATGAGTATTTAAGTTTTTATACAGAAAAAAAGAACCGGAGCAAATTAAAATAACGGGCTAATCAAAAGAAAAATAGCTAGCGTTAAATATGTTTCTAAAATGGCTAGCTATTTTTACTAAATACCATTACAATAACATATTTCCTGTCAAGTTAGTATAGAGTTAAGTTTTGCAATGCATTATTAATATATATATATTTTTTTAATTAACCAAATCAGGCGGAAATAAGTTTGAAAATGATCCCCTGTTGGTTCACTTCCATACGTTAATATGATTTAAGCAGCACAATGGTCAAATCAATGCTAGTGAATAAGCGATTCTTTTTGAAAAAGGCTGTGTCAAGATGTTTAAGTGCATTTTTAACTTTGAAGGACATTCACGTTTGGTTGTCTTTCCAAACTAACTTGTGTACACACTAAAAGAGAACAGATGCTCAGTAGTTTCTACCACTAGAGGAACAGACAGTAAAGTATCCTGCGCTGCAAAACAGTATTTGAATTATGAACGAGTCTATCCTTTATTGTTATGTTTAGGTAAATACTCGTTTAGCCTAGAAAAGGCCAAAAATATTTGAAAATGCTAATCACTTAAATTTTAAACTTTAAAATTATTATTTTTAAATTGATTAAATTACATTTTTAATAATGAATGACTGACTGCTGTTCAGGTGATTTGCTGGAGAGCTGCGGCCAGTATTGCTTGGGCTGTCCTGTTGTTGCCACCCATCACTGCAGTTTTTGTAATCCTCAGCAAGTTCAGTCTCCTGCATCCCATCCAGACGATATCAGGTCAGTCACCACGTTCATTGTGAGATTTGACTCCTAATCTGAGGTCGTGTGAAGCTTATTATAGAATGTTTTTTTATGCGCAGAATGCCTGTCCCTCCTAAGGAGTGCAAGTGCCATCTTCTCATTAATCCTGCTGTGTGGAGTGATCCTCATGGTTGGGTTCCTGAACCTGGAGTATTATACAGGTGAGTGTCAGGGGGCTGTTTGGTATTGTTAACTTGCGTCTGAAGGATGTCATGTGATTACCTGTTACTTTGAGTTTACACATTGCATCTGCTCAACAGCACACACAGACTTTGCTTGTAACTCTTGTTGTTTGTTCTGTTTCTTTTAAGTCATCCCAACTATTGCGTGCTCGAAAATTGCCCTATTGGGTCAGCTGCTCCACCCTCGTCAGCTTGTCAACTCCCTGGTCCACTGCATCATGGGAATAATCGTGGCATGGTGTTGTGCCATCACCATCGGTGGCAGATATGAGACACTCGGCTACCCTTGTGCACAGAGTGATGGGTAAGCAAGCTACCACATAAAACATGTTTAGCTTTACATACTTCATCCATAGTCTAATTGCCCCGTTTGTTTTCAACAGTGACAGCTCTCCTCAGATGTGTCTAAATGAGTATCACCTCATCCTTCTGCTGGCTGGAGCCTTTGTTGGATTCTCTTACAGTCTGCTGGGTGTGATCCACAACATGAACTATGTCTCTTTCCACACTGTTCAGGTATGTGACATGAGTTTACTCATTTAAACCACTGACGATGATGCAAAGACTGAATATTTAAGTATATATGAATATAAGATCTGTTTACATCTTAAATGCTTTTTGTAGTCATTAATCAGCCTCCATTTACACCTCGGTCAAATCTGGTTTACACTTCTGCCAATCAACATACAGGTTTATTAATCTTTGGTATCGAAAAATGCAGACCCAAACATTGGAAAGACAAAATATCAGGTATTGTCCTTTTCAATCGTTTATGATTAGCGTTGATGTTAACTCATTGTTGTTCTTCTACAGCAATACAAATACCTTCGCTTTAAGGGATCCTTACCTTTGGTGGTGAAGTGCAGCGCCACTCAAGCACTTAAATCTGTCAGGAACTACATTGTTGTGTATTTGTTTTTAGGTAAGTGACCTCTGTTTACAAATGAATCTTCAGTAACACAGAGCTCCCTCACCATAGAACAAACTTTTAAAAGAGTTTAACTTTCACATTATTGTTCAGTTATTAACTGAGCTCTGTTTTTATTTACCTCTTTTATGTTAACAGGATACATTCCCAAAGCATGGATTTGTAAAACACTGAATCTGCATTTGAACAGGTCAGTATAGATTCTATGTTTATATATGATTGAACAGACATTCTTGTTTTATTTTAGTTTGAGCCCAGCCACAAAGTGCTGTATTTTGGACAGATAAAGTGATGAATGTATCTGTGTTTGATCTCCACCTCCAGCTCCGCCCACCCTCTTGACAGCATAGCTGGACTGCTGGACTTCTTCCTGCTCTACCACCTGTGGATCAGTGCCAGCTTCCTCCTCTTCACTTGGCACATCACACTGCTGCTCTTTAGGATCTTTGTCACTGAGGTATGTGTCTATCAATAAAAGATAAAGTGTATACAATCAAAAATCAAAAGGCTCACTGTGCTATAGAAATGACCACATTTAGTTTGTTCCCTTCTGTTTGACTTAATTATAAATTCTGATACCTCAGCACATCTGATCATTTAACCAACGAACACAGTGCCAACTGACCTTGGTGACCACCATAAAATTGCATGTACTGAGCCCAGTTCTGATTGCTAATTTGTGCCTGTGATTGAATAAAAAGTGTTAAAGTGTTTTGTTGCAAAGAAAACTTTTCTTTGACTTTTAAATTATTTAGACACTAGGGGGCAATGTTGTCATTGCTTTGAATGTCCAAGTATCTGAAGAGCACCAGATTTAACTGCATTGTATTATTCATAGTGAACATTCCAGAATTCATCTGATCAGTTAAATGACCCTTGTGGGCCGTGCCTTTAATGTCATACATTATCTTATGCACTTCCTGTTATCTGCAGGTGTACAGTTTTCCTGTGCAGTCATCTTTTACTGAGGATGTTCACCAGTGTCTTCCTAAAGTTCTTACCGACAACCAGCCAATGATACTGAAGGTAGGTAAAACACATAATTAGATTATTTCAAGCATCTTCTTTTTAGTGATTACTGGTCATTAAATGTGGGTGTTGTAACTTGTCTTTTCCCAAATGTTAGTTTCTAGCTCTGCAGGACTTGGCTCTGCTGTCTCAACACTCCCCATCACGACGCTGTGAGGTCTTCAGTCTGAGTCAGCCAGGTCTGTCACCTTGTCTGCACAAAAAACACGTTCCTTGCTTGAACTGTTAATGTCAAATAAATAATTAAATCATTCAGTTGTATTTATTAGCAAACAAAATGCATTTATCTTTTTCATTCTTTCATTCCCAGGTGGCCATCCTCATAACTGGAACGCCATCAGTAAGGAGTGTATGTCTCTGCTGGCTGATCTGACCCAGAGACTCGTGGCCTATCATGACACTGTAGCAACCAATGGCAGGGCTAAATCATTGTCTACTGGGAGTGAACGGAAGACTTCATCTGAGACATCAGGTATGTTGCTATAAAACATAAATAAATGTAACTGTTTATGACCAGTCCTCTTTTTCCTTATTGTCCCCTTTTTTTTTCTTTAAAGTAACCTCAGGTACAGACGATCTGATGAGCCCGCGGCCTACTTTTCTTATGAAAACTCCAGCTTCGGTCTTTGCGCGCTCCATTGTTGGCGGCCCACAGAGTCCTCTGACGGCGCCATTCACGCCTGACCTGGACAGCCCCTTTGCTTCTCCCGCCCTGCGGCGTCTTACTGCTCCTGTGGAACAATTCTCGCCGTGGTCCGGCACAGTGCAGAGCCCACACGTCATGAGGAGAGGCCCAAAACTCTGGTCCACCTCCACAGGTGAGAGTAGGATAATGGATCACTTAGATCAGACACTTTAAGGTCCAACCTTAGCCAAATAGAGTTGACAAACATTATTAGCAGCCACTGCTAGTACATATGTGGTGCCTCAAGACCTTTTTATACTAGAAATGTTTTGAATGATCGATATCTGTGAATCCAGCTTTCTTACCAGTTCCAAGTTGTGATTTAGCATCTGTCTCTGTGCAGATTCACAAGTCAATGGCAGTCCCCAGTCATCCCCTGCCTCAGTTCCCAGTCCCAAGCAGGAACCATCCAAACCGAGTCTCCTGGCTCAGTTTCTCCAGAACAGAAGAGAACAGGTACTTCAGTCTTGTTACACAATTTAAAATATAGATGCTAGTATGTCTTATACAGCATTGACAAAAGGCTTTTCATACTTAACATTTATTAACCTTGGGCAAACAATAGTAACCTTGGGCAAACATACAGATACTCAGTACTTTTACTCGGGCAAAGGCTGCACCAGAAACTCCCCCAAGACATCAACAATGCCAAAAAGATTACATTTTACTTTACATTATTGTTATTTTGTTGCCTACTTTATTTTGTAAGAAATAAAAAAATAAGGAACATCTTGGATGCAGGCAGTTTATTTCTTTCCTTAATTCAATGCAGAGCTATTCGGTTGTTAAGCAATGACTCTGAAAAAGGATGACGAAGTAAACTAGCATCATGTTTTTAACACTGGCTTGGAAAAGTCTGTCTGTAGCCATGTTGCAGATCTTTTTTACTGACTACTTCTGCTGTATAAAGTAAAGGCCACATCGCCCACCTTAGTTCTGATTTGAAGTTGTTGAGGTGGTCTCAGCCAAGGGTTAAGTGTGAAAAGCCAATATTTTATTTGTGTTACATATTTCTTGTACAGTTTTGAAAGCAAAAGAACTTTACACTTAATTGTCCCATTCAGGTTAAAAATTTCTTGGCAAAGCGGGTGCTGATAATGTATTTGTTTAACAAGGTAAGGATGTGTGACCTGTGCATGCTGTCGTCTTTAGGCTTCTGAACACAGTGAGAGGCTCCCTGCATGCTCTCATCTGACACTGTAGATTTTCATTTGGTTTGACCAAATCTAGTAACCTCACCCTGCAAGCATCACTAATTGAACACTGCTGGTTTTGGGCTTGATTGTGCAGACATTACTAATGTAGCTCTTTTCCATCCATCTAACTGTTACAATGAGTCTTAGTAATTACATAGCTTGAATTAAGGAGTTGTTTAACGCATGTGTCTTGTCACTTAGCTATTAATTGGTATGTGTTCTAATCAAGTGTTCAGAAATTTTGCTCTTGTGATCGTATCAGAAGCGTGACGTACTTACTAAACTTATCACAGCCAAATATCTTAGTTGCATGTGCTATTTCCTCTTTGTAGAAACTAGTTTGGTTAGTCTGCTTTGCTTTCAGAGTTTTCTGTATCTTCTTTTGATCTGCAAGTTGTAGCATAGTCTCACTAAAACTCTGTCTGTCTAACAACCCCTAATTCACCAGTCTACTGTAAATGTGATTCTGAATGTCTGTTAAGTAGAGAACTTGCACTAGTTAATATAATCCCTTACAGCTTCCAGAAGCATCCAGTCAAGCTCTGTTTGCAGACAGCCAGGCGCACATCTGGGCTTTAGAAGGTAGGAAGAGATGGTGGACTTCTTCATTTCATACGGTTACGGATTGATGCAACATCTACATGACAATGTCCTCTAATGTCCTCCTCCAGGGCTGTCTTACCTTGTTCAAGCCTCCTTCTCAGAAGACCAGTTTGGGGTTGTACAGACTACATTACCCAGCATTCTCAGTTGCATGCTGGTCTTACAAGAGGTAATCTGTCATGATTTACTGCAGCTACCCTGAGAGTACATATTGGCACAGCAACGAGGATTAAAAATAACTGACTTATCAGATTTCATAGCCCTGCTGTATTGTACTGTGTGTGTGAAATCTGCCTTGCATAGCACTCTGTGGTTAAGTATCAACCACCACCAAACTTTGTACCTACAACACAACCCGTACAGTACTATGTGCTTGCTAAGATTAGAGAAAGTGAAAAGGGCTAACTCATCTAAATAATGAAAAAGAACATTTCCTTTATCTGGGTGGTATTTCTCTGGTATTGACATTGACCCTGTAGATAGCAGAGGGAATTTGAATTCTCAAGCGTATGAGACATAAAGGAAACAAGAGGAAACTGTAAAGATACTTGTTCATAGTGACACATTTATACAACAGGTACACACAGCCAGGACACCATTACATACACTGCACCATGGTGGAGGTGAAACAAAATGACTGTTTATTTTGCATTGTGCGCCCACTGATCGCAGTCGTGTCCTGTCCTCCTTGACTTCAGGCAGTAGATCGACACTTCAAGCTGCCTCATGCCTCCAGTAAGCCTGTAAGGTCGACCGGCAGTATGGGAGACTCTACTTACAAAACGCTGCGCTTTGCTCTCAGGGCCACCCTCAAGACTGCCATCTACAGGATAACTACTATGTTTGGAAACCACCTAAAGTAAGACCGGTCATTAAAAGCGGCTTTCTTTAAATGCTAATGCAGCGAATGCTAACTACTTCATTTTGTTTTTTAACTCCTCAGTGCTATTCAGATGTCTGCAGAGCACCGGAAAAGATTGCAGCAGTTTCTCGAGTACAAGGAATAACACACCTGACACTTGGCTCCTGTGCCTTCAGATTCTTATCAGTGTGATTTGTGTGTGTGCGCGTGCGTTTGCACATTAGCACAAATGAGGCAGCAAGTGAAAGCGCATGATAGTGCCTCTTTTAATATTTATGTCTGCACTATGTCATGGCAGATTGTATTTGATAGGCTAGATCACATCTCCGACATGCATGAGGCGGGGGCAGGAAGCCCAACCAATAAACTGAAACAGGTTGGAAGACTGCTGGCGCCCGCTGTTTGGGGAGATTTCAACTAGCTTACTGTGTAGATAAGCGACTCATTCCAAAGGATGTTTGTTTCATTTGTGTTACAAGAAAATCATATCATGTAATCTTTGTTGACTTTTGTTAATTGGGATGAGTTGTAAAGGGCTATTCACGCTGCACTTGTACTAAATTCTTCTGGTTTCGTATTTAATCTGTCCTCTTGAATTACATCCTTGTGATTACAAAACATTTGGCATCAGGTGTGATGAGTGAGAGAGATGTCGGAGTAGTGTGTCAGAATGTGATCTGATATGTATTTTCGCAGGTCTGGTTTTGTTGTAGACACCAGCTTGGAGAACCAGTTTACAGCTGTGCACATCGGTTCATAGGTTCTCCAATTAGAAAATACACCATAGTCAGATTTACAGATCAGACATGTCTCTGTACATGTTAAGTATTTGCTTTTGTCGGTTTCGTTCATGTGATTTGAGGTTGTCATTTGTCAGATTAAGGATGGATATATGGTGTGACTGGGAAAATTTTTTCACTGCCAACATGTATTTAGTTTGAATACCCACTCAAAGATCTGTTGAATAAAATCCAATATGTAAAGATGATGTGTGATGTGTATTTCTCAACTGAAAAGAGCACAGAGTCTATGAATGTAGGGAACAATTTTCTCAGAAATTTGATTCCTATATAAAGATCAAGTTTTACACTTGAGTCCCTTTTTACCTAATGGAAAAAAATGTAATGCAAGAGGCCATGCAGATAAGAGTGGAAGGTGTGGACTAATGTGCTCATCAACATATAGAGAGTAATAATAGAAACGGATTAAAAAAAAATTCTCTCCAAAATGTTAGGAAATCACAAATCTATGCTCTTGACTTTTGCATAATCATCTGGTTGTACTCAACCCGTAAACTGGACATATGTCCTTCCTCAGTTTGCATACTGGAAACATCCAGGAAAAAGAAGTGCGTCTGCTTGAAACTTCCATTAATAGAATAGGTCCTTTCCACAGCATACATTGTAAACAATGGCTGTATTATTCAAGTGCCAGTCATCCATGACATTGTGATACTGAGCCAATGTGCACAATACAGGGACCCTAAAACTACACCTGTGCTAATCCTATCAAAATGTCTTCTGATTTAATAAATTAAATCAATCAAATATAAATGACTTATTTTATCTTACATGCTTGAACTAAGACATCCTATATTTAATAACTATAAAGCAAACATGAGTCAGTTTTAAGAAGTTATTCAGGAGATGTCATAATCCACTGTTCTTGGTAGTCTTACAAGAAAGTTCAACTGTATCTAGTTATAGTATAATGACTCAGTATTATTCAACTGTATATAGTTATAGTTTAAGGACTCAGAGTATATAGTGTTTTCTGTGGCTCTAGCTGAGCTTTCTGAAGCCTGAGAATAACCCTGATGATGTCTTGCTCAGTTTCAGTTTGGACTTTTTAATAGAAAGCCTGAATTTCAAACTTTGGGAGAGTCTCAGAGACATTACTACAGAGGGGATGGTGTCATGAAAGACACTTAAGTTGCATTATGGGAAATGTAGGATCCAGTCTTTTTGAGGCTTGACATAAAACTTAAGATAAAAGGTCAGGACATCTTACCCACTCTGAAAAATCTATTTTAAAAATTAACAAATCAGAATATCACTAATAACCCCAATATTTCTCAAACTATGCAAAGTATATGTGAATGTTTCTGGCAGCCTGGTGTAAACTCTCCACAGATAAAGAATAAAACCTCTTACGGCCACTTAAATCAACCAATAAATGAATGAATACATAAGTTTTTTTCCAACAATACAACACAGAACAAAACAATAAGAGGACAACAACGTCAAGAGCACTGTCTTTTTGTTTATTGCACGAATCGTACATATTTCCAACTGACCTGGTAGAACGCAATATTAGGCAGTGGTGGAAAAGAAATTGTTCATCAAAAGCCTTATTATGTATACAAGATGCCAAAAATAGCCAGTGGGAAAATCTGGATATAACCGTCTCAAATGATGGATTAAGATCTAGAAAGGAAATACTGTTTTTTTTTTCTTCTTGAACAAGAAAGAGAATCAAAACTTTAATACTTGAAATGACAGCAGGTTCTGTTCATAACAGAGGGATGTCATTCATAGGAGGAGAAACTGAACAAAAATGGTGCCTGAAGTCAACTTCTTTTTCTCTGGATTTTAAAAGTATTTTGTCCTCATATAGAATATAAACCTCTGCATCAATACCAATCAAATGTTTTGACATCTTTTTTTCTTCTTTTTTTTGAAGTCAAACAGCATTTTTTTTTTTTACAGTTTTAATATATATTTATATATGTACATATAAATTCAACTAACTAGAGTTCTCATAGAAAATGAGAAAAGCTGGACTTTATCGCTCTCACACAACAAATGACTGGCAAGCATATTGACCCTACCGCCCCCTCTGTCCTCCTCTTTGAGCTGACGTTAATACAGCACAGGTGGAAATTTCCTCACAAGTGATGTGCTGGCTGCAAACAACTGACCTGGTTCAAATGTTTGTCTGAGAAATGTTACTTAGCAATTGATTTGAGACTGTAAGCATCACAGACCGATTTTACACATGGACCTTTGTTAGTCCAATCTCCGTTGGCACATAGGCAGCCTTTCGATAACGATTTGATCCAGGTCGGTTCTGGCTCTATAAAAAATCACACAGTTCCCCAAAAGAACCCAACAACAGCTCTCGTATCCTATGCACATGCTGAACACCATCTGCCTCTGGATTTTAATGTTCAACTAGAGAGTTGAACTAAAGATTTCCTGTCAAAGATGGGTGTCAGGGGTGAAGACTGAGGGGATGAAGAAGAAGAGGAATGAGGAGGAGGAAAGGCTGGTGGAAGCAAAAGAAACCTCCTCTTCCTTTGTCGAAAAAACGCTCAAGTGCAAAATATCCCCCCCCCGCTCGAAAAATTCAAAGAAACAAACTAAACTTCACTGTAGGTTTTCAAAAGGAGAGATACAAGACTAGAGAACAGCTCTTCCCCCCCATGGATCACACACTCAGTGCACGTTTTTGTCTGTGTCTCAAACTAAAGCATCCCTGATTCAAAGTGCACTCAGTAGTGAGGGGAGAGGGTGACGGGGAGAGGAGGGGAGGGATTAGCTGAGGGCAGCATGTAGGGTGATGCAGCATGTAGGGATTTTAGTAGTCCTCGGAAAGAAAACCGGTGAAAAATGCAACTAGCTGCACAAGCTCAGGGCCAGAATTCAGTATGAGACTGGGGGCGATGCTGGAGTTTCCCCTCTGTACGTTCAAATTAAAGGAAGTCACATTGAGGGGTTTGTTTTAGGGTACCATTCTACACCCTTCTCGCCTTCCTCAGTACATAAAGTTTGAGAGCAAGAAGTGTGTTACTAAGAGAAGGGGAGGGGGGGATGCTGGTGTGTGCTGGTGCTGTATAGCTTCCTACGGGGTGCCTAAAGAGAAGGTGCTTGTTGCCATACACGCACAGTACAATGTTCTGTTCTGGGGCTAGGCAGAGCATATAGATAATGTATGGACAAGCAGAGGGGGACCCTCCAAGTGGTTTATAGGGATGTAAGCACTCACTAAACCTCTTTGTACAATTCTCAAAAATCTGGAAGTGTGTATGCAGTCTGTAGTCACCGTTTGCACACTCACAACTGCTGGGAAACCAGGCGTTTAAGCATCTCTGTCACTCTGCTTCAAAACTATGTTTAAGTAAATGTGTGTGTTTATCTGTATGAGTTCGTATGTGTGTAAAAAAAATAAAACACCTCCAGTCTGTGGCTCGTCAGTGTTTGAGTGTGCCAGTGTGTCAATAGTGCTTGCCTATGTGCATCAATTCAAGGGCAATAAAGTGTGTATGTATGTGTGTGTGTGTGTGTGTGTGTGTGTATGTGTCTAAGTATGTATGTGTGTGGCTCAGGAAGACATGCACTGGACGTGGTCTGGACCCCCTTCCTCTTCATCGGAGGAATCTGGAGAGCTCCAGGACTCATCTGTGTCTGCATCTGCACCCTCGCGGCGGGCCTGCGTCCAGACAAACAAGAGGAGGACAGACAAACATAGGAATGAGACTAATTGGGCCTGAAATAGTTTGCAAACATTTTGCCAAGCTGGTCCTTAATGTTAGAAATTGTACTGTACATTTCCAGTGCTAAATTACCAGTAAATCCACCCTGGAATGCTAATTTTTATTAAGAGATTCTGCCTCCAGATGACAACAAATTTCTGTTTCCTTCTTGACCAAACAAAAGTTATGTTCACAGGGTTTTCCCTGCTTATCTGACTCAAAGGTGGGGCCGTATTATTGGCCGCTGCCTTTGTTGAAAATTCCAACTAAAACACAAAGGCTTTTTTTTTTTTTATGCCAAAAGTATTGTGCCTTTTATCAGCAGCTGCTTTGATGATCTTATACAACTCGTGTTGAGGCAATGACACATTCATTCATTCAGAAGTGAAGCGACGATAACATTGTTGGTAACAGGCTTGGTAGTGAATGTATTAGTGTATTTAGTTTTTTTCAATAGTTTCCATATCATGTGATCCACCTGTTATCTGTTCACTGGTCACATCTGAAAGCTCTTTTACTTCATCATGCTTGTCTTCACTTTTTCCATCAGGCTTGGTTCCCCTTTGTCTAAAAGGTGCGTGCAGACACTATGTATGCCACATACGTTTTCCTGCCTTTGCCACATTTGGTTTACATTCAGTGTTACTAAAATACAATTACTTCCTAATAAAACATCTGCAGAGTCTATTCTTTTGTATATTTTTGTGCATTGTTTACACCCATGTTTGCTAGCGTGCAGTCTTCCTATTTCCTGCCTTTGAGGCTGCATTGTTATGCTTCGCACGTCACAGCATCCAACTGTCAATAAGCAGAACAGCAGTACTCGGCTTCCTTATGACCTCCAATTTTATAATACCAACTGTATCCTACATACTATTTAAGGGGTGTTCCAGTAATGTCATAGGGGTTGGGGTTTAGTTAGGGGGCCCTGTAGGTCGCGTACTACAAATAAAGGCAAAGTCCTAGATTCTACATTTCCCATGCCCATGTCTTTTCAACGCCACCCTGAAACACAATTAAATAATTCTGTAGTGTTTGAGAGCTCACCCTTGGGGGCCGTCTGTTCCTCATGTGTCTCATCAGGAACCACAGCAGCTGGGTGTCATACTGGTCACCGTGGCGCACGCTGTCCTCATCGCGCTCCCGCTTGTTTTTCTTCATCACCTTGACCAACACAACAAATAGTTTATTACAGGTGTGAATGTGGTAAACAAGAGAATGCACTCACAGCAGATATGTCCCTAAAGAACTAATGTGTTACCATAATTAAACATAGCCACAGACTACATAAGAAAATACAATAAAATATTTCTTATTTATAATATTTATGTCCTGGGACTCATCTTCTGTAGTTTTTGACATCATTCCTATTATGCTGAATTATGTCCCAAATAATTTGAATTAGTTAAAAAACTGTT